GACGTGCTCGAATGAAATTTACGAGAAATATTGCTTTGAAAATCTCTATTTTCTCTTTTATTATTATCGTCGTCGTCGTCGCCATCGTCGTCGCCATCGTCATTCTTCTTCTTCTTCTTCTTCTTATTATTATTATTATTATTATTATTATTATTAACTTCATTTAAAAGAATTTATTTTATGGTTCGCTAAATCTTATTGCGAAATATTTCCGTCTTGACTTTTAATGCCTTTGTTATTAATGGAAATAGATTCACGTGGAAACTAAAAAAAAAAAAAAAAAAAAAAAAAAAAAAAAAAAAAAAAAAACATAACAACCAAAATAAATGATATTCTAGATTAAATATCAAAGATTAAAAGTTTTAAATATAATTTGAACAAAATATGCTTGTCTCATGTACTTTTATCTGAAAATTTCTTTGGATAAGGCTAAATATATAAACTGAAATTCTCTGATTTTGAAATTAAGACGCGAATGGCAATGAAAACCATGACGAAATATATAGTTTTTTTAGGTTGTGGGGGATGGGACGGGGGGAGGGGGGAAGGCGGCGACACGATAGGCAAATTTATCTATAATTATCTTCAAACATTTTACTGTGTTTAAAAGATAACGATAACATTGACGTTCTTCTATTGGTAAGATTTTGTTAATAAACACGATCATTTATTTCAACTGCTGAGAAAATCACACAAATCCATAACATATTTTATGCTTAAAATTTATAAATCATAGATTATCATTACAATAAGTAAATATAATAAGAATTACAAATTGTATATTCATAAATATTCATTTACCTTACTTTTTGTGTTTCGTTTCTAATGATAATTGTCAGTAATTGAAAAGCAGATTATACATTCGAAATTATTAATAAATCGACAATGCAATATTATAAAAATTTAATCAATGTTGAATCAATTCCCCGTAAATCCGAGGTTAAAAATAAATACTGAAAAATTCCGTGGCGCAGTTTTCAAAGGATTTAAAATTATCGAATTTAAACATAATAAGAATACGAAATGTAATACCCAATTGTCAGTACTCGCTTTTGTACTCGATTATCTATCCTAATAACAAATAAAGCGATTACGAATCTCCATGAACCGGCTCCTTCTTCTAAAGATCGATAAAAAATTGTGAAATTCCAAACAAACTAGGGAACAAGTATCGCAGTCACGATTATAGTTGCTAGTTATTTTAATGCAAAAGCTAAAATTACGAACAATAAAGTGTGCAGTTATTTGTGAATTGGCGTATTTAAAATATTTAGACGTACATGTCCGACAATATGTTGCAAATATAAGATATCCAAGTGCATCGGCAAGGAATAGCTAAGGCACATTATCAAGCTCAAAACGCACAAACGTCCCGTTAAAATGTCCAATACTATCCCACTCCCAATTACTTACATAACGAGCAAAAAGCATTTTCACATTGGCGAACCTCGGCTCTCATTAAACATCACTAATCACCGTTTCGCAAGTCTCTTTTTCTATTTGCTCGGCGCTCACCAAGGGCCATCTTGCCTCCCGCATCTTCAAAAGCGAGAGTGCGGTAGGTCGGAATGCTCGCAGGAGATTCAAAGAAAGCGAGAGCGTCAATCAGCGCGCTGCTTTCCTTTCTCGCACCGCTTCAAACGAAATTCAACAACAATGAGCCCCCGCCAAGGCAATTAAAGCCCGGGCAACGGCGCGCGTTATATAAAACTCATTGGCCCGCGCGCGAACCGCCAAACAATGCGGCGAAATGCGCTTTCGCGCGATAATTTACACCTCGAAAGCGAGCTCGTGCGAATCCCTTGTGCCATTGTGCCGGCTCGTATACTTACGTGCAATTGCTGCTGCTGCTGATGCTACTCTTCCGCCGGTACATTCTTCCGTGATTTTACCGATGCTCTCTCAATTCTTTGGAGATGCTGCGGTAATGTCGACAGATATTGAGAGCGTCGATAGTGTTTTACGATCTAAAAGTGCTTTTTGTTTCGCTTGTAAATTGCGTGTCGTAGCTTAACGCATTTGAAGTTCCTAATGGCCATGTACGTAAGATATTGTGCTCGAGAGCTCTCGATAGACGTTGCGAGCGACTGCAGTCCGCTAAAATTATTGAAATTTGCACGCATTTTACACCGCAAGTAACGATTTTGATAAAAACAGGCAGTCAGTTCGTACGGTTAATTTACTTGTAAAATGTAATCCCATGCTTCGTCTATTGTTCTGTCAAGTTAATTTTAATTGCATCAAGTATCCCACGAATCTTCCAGATAACAATTAGATGAGAAAATAAAGTATTGTAAGCGCGAACGATTCGGATGAACGACCTCGAAACTTTTATCAAATTTTTATTATCCTTTCAACATGAAGTCTAACGCATCCTTCTCAATAGCGCCGCGCGTCTTTTTCTAAACAAACAATACTTTAATCCCAGCATTCCAGCATAAAAATTCAATTGCGTATCCGTCCTCCTTAAAGTACTTCAATATGACTTGGAATAACTGATAGCGGCAACCTATGTCTTTCCAGCTTGCCACACTTACCGAGCTTAATCGATAAATCACATAAAACGGTTAATAAACGCTCTAATTGCATTCGACGATGAATTCAAAGTATTGGCAAACGAATCCGATACTCGCGAGAGAACAAGCGAGCCTCGATCGCGCCTCCGAACAACTCTACCTTGAGGTCGCAAACGGCACTACGAGCCGCTAAGAGCTCAGCTACGGCCGAGACCGAGGCTCAAGGAAAAATTAGCGACGCACGTCTAATTGCGGAGGCGCTGTGACGATGAGAGACAGGGCGCTTGCCGCAATGCGCGCCCTCCTTATCTTATCATCCGCGGGGGATGATGTCGCGGACAACGGGGAGGAAGGCGTGGCGATATGAGGAAAAGACGGGAGTGCGTGGGCCGAGGTTGTCGTGGCGCTTTCCGCGATCGAAAAATAGAAACGATGCCGTGGATACGTCGGTCTTTTTACTTTGCCACCGGACCCCACGCGCATATCTGCGTAAATTTCGTGTTTGTTGTTATTTTTGGGTGTCGGAATGTACGTCCATTTCGGCCGTGGCAATTAAAAATGAGCTACTCAGGCGTCGCTTTTAACTCCCTCTCTATGTCGCTTTATTTCGTAAATAATGCAGAATTCATTGGTTATACAATGCTGGAGGAGAAATTCTTTCGTGACAATTACCAAGGGGCATCGAAATATTCGACATCGTATATCTGGCCATTATTGTATAGGCTTGCGAATTATTTGCAAAAGGCTTACATTCTTATTGCTATAAAAAAGTGTTCTTACAATTGTCATGATCATTTAGATAATGTCAAATGAAATAAACAGAGTCAGAGATGTTGGATTATTTTGAGGCAGTTATAAACGATAGGTAGTAGTAATGAACGGATGAAAGATCGTTAATCAAATAAAATAATTAAATTCGCACCCGAATTTTAGAGATTTCAGCTTATCTGCGTAAATTTACGAGAATCGTCTAAAAATAACAATGACATACAGTTTTTAACAAAAAGTTCACATTTGTAGGAGTTAAATTAGCACTTAACGATGAAGCTAACATAAGCATTATGTATTATAGCCGTATATTATACAAAAGCACGAAATACGCAATAAATTTTGAAATTACGCATTTTATTTTCTATTCTTAATTTGATGTTAGAAGAATAATATTTGTAAGAACAAAGGTGTCCAAGTTACAAACAATATTATAGAAATTTTGTTTTAATTTAATACAAACTTGCGAGTACTTATTATAAAGTACCTCCTACTATTTTGTCCGCATTATAATAACTTGAATTTCATCAACGTGTCTTTTTAAATATCTTGGAGAAAAAAAAAAAAAAAAAAAAAAAAAAAAAAAAAAAAGTAGTAGTAGTAACTGAATATTTGCAGTTAAATAAATTGAAATGCATGTATGTGTTTCAGCACAACGACGATACTGCTTCCTTTAACATTAAATGAAATAAATTTGATTCGAATAATTTTAATATATAATCACTTTATTTTATAAACGAACTCTTACTTTTATCAATGGAAAACTAGATGTGGTCTATTAAATTACTCAAAATAATAAAACTTTTAATGAATTTTGATACTTTAATATCGTAACCAACAAAAGACTTATAATGTATTAAAAATATATAAAAATATATAATTTTGACAAAATCTTAGATTTGTAGCAAGTAATATTATATGGGTCCTTGGGATATTTATCACTGTCTTTCGAGTGGTTCTATATAAGACACAGAAATTGCTTAAAAATAACAATTTTATGTTAATTAATGAGTTACAATTAAATCAAGAACTTTTTCTTTTTTCTATTTTTTTTTCTTTTTTTTTTTTTTTTTCTTTTTTTTTTTTAACAAGACGTATCTGTAAACAAAAGCTTTTACAATAATATGAATTATAATATTGATAGTAAGAACAAGCTCGTCTCGAATTTGGATTTTATTTATTTAAATCCAATCTTTCTTTCAATTTTTTTTTTGTTTTTTTTTTTAACATAAATTGTCGACAGAATTGTTAGACAAATAGTGTTCCTTTACATCTAAACTTAAATTTATGATATTAAAATACTCCATCCTATAGTAGTCACTTTTACAATTTTCTCTTACTCGTAAATTTGTAAAATAAATCGTGCATCATCACTAGACACAATCATGAACATCGCACTTATACACCCACATATTCTCAGTATCTATAATTGGGTGACACTTGAATTAATAGGACTTAAAATTTAAGTCCAAAATCTACAATACAAATATTTTCAAACTGATGAACCAGTTATCACACTTACACCCATATCCATATAGCGCAAAATGTGTACGAATTGTTTAAAACAAATGCAAAATTTTTCGCGAAAAAAATCGATCTATTTTGCTGTTAATTAAGCCAATTAAAAAATAAATATTTTAGTGAAGTGAATTACTGGCAAAACTTAATTAAAGAAAATTTTACAAATGAACTATTTAAAATCTGTATCTAAAAAACAATCAGTTTTTTTTTTTTTTTTTTTTTTTTTTTTTTTTTTTTAAACATCATCTTGCTTTACACAACTATACTTGTATTTGGTAACGCACACTGTTACCCACTGAATCATTCTGTACAACACTGTCAAATAACTTTTACATTTCGTTCGCATTGAGAATGAAAATTTAGTTTTGCGTTCATGACAACTTATTTTATCACCCATATTTTACGTTCACTGACCCTTCTCATCGATATAGGCTTTAATGGCTTCTTGACATTCCAGTGTACACCAATGCTGAATAAGCAAAAGACTTTCCGATTCTAGCGCGACATCCAGCTTTTCACGAAGGCCATGACGAAGTAAAGCTTTCGTCGCTACCATTGACTGAAATTTAATAACAATTATTTATTTATCAAGTAATTAATAACAAGTATTTATGAAATCTCGGAAATTTTTTCACAGCCGTTAAATTCTTTTATATAGCAATAATTTAAAAACATAAATTTATAAGACGGTTATTTTGAAAAACATATAGGAAATTACGTTTGATTCGTAGAATCGCATTTTAGAATTTTAAAGTCAGATAAATGTAATACCGATGAACATTGCATATGAAAAAAGACAAATTTTAAAAATTAACATAAAAATATTTTCTATCAATTTACAGTCGTTCATAAATAAAAATAATTATAATATTAAACACTTTTTTATTCAATTTTTTCACATAAACAGGTGATGATGTTCTTATATTGACTTGGCATGTTAATTTACAATGAGTTTGTGAAAATTACAAAGTACTTTATAAAAATGTGTTATAAATGTATTGTACTGATTTATACCTGTGAAGATTGTTCGCTCATAGTCTTCACAGAAGGTAAAAGTTCAACCTGAAACCTATCTGGCCACAAGACTCTTGTAACAAGTCCCGCTCTCAATGCTTCACTAGCAGTTAATGTTCTGCCGCCTAATAATAACTCGTTCGTCTATAAAGAAGAAAACTTATTGTCTTATCATTGCCAACCACGAACTAATGGTACAGCTAGAATATTATACTTACAACTGCATTACCAAGACAATGCGATAACGTTAAAACTGCAGCTCCCTCGGATATTTGACCAAGTTTTCCATAGGGAGTGGCAAATGTTGCCTTATCACTAGCTATCACAAGATCAAATAAAGGCAGCATTGTCACGCCAAGTCCAACGGCTGCCCCTTGTACCCCAGCCACGATCGGCTTATTAAATGTCGCTAAAGCTTTGATGAACTCCCTATCGGAAAGATTCATTTAACACATCTCAGCACGATTATACATGAAATATCTAATAATTATTTTTAATGATAAATTTACTAATAAAAATAGAATTCCGAATTTATGTATAGATAATAATTAATCGTTTAAATTGAGTATTAAATTAATATTAATATTTAAAAATTTTATTCTTATATAATATAAAGTCTTATAAAAAATTTAAATATATATATATATATATATATATATATAGGATATCATCGATCCATACTTGACAGTATTAGACATTTCTTCAGCTCGGATTTTCCGCTCTTCTTTGTTTGAATGTAGGAGAAAAGAAAGTTCTAAACCTTCACAGAAGCTCGTACCTGTCGAGGTAAACAAAACAACTCTACAATCGTCATCTGTTTTTAAAATTGACAGTGCTTCTCGGATTTCATTCATAACCTACAAAAGTGTTTACAATCAACATTCATAGTAAAATTCACGAAAATTTTTTATTCAGTCTCATTTATATGAGACTCATCTATATGATAATCGATTTCTTACTTGAATTGTTATGGCATTTCTTATTCCCGATACTGGTGTTGATGGCGTCAATATTAATTGTACAAGATTCCCTTGCTGCCTTACATTTATTTCCTTATTACTAAATAATTTTTTGATATCTACTTTCTCGTCGTCAGCTGCCTGTGATTTTGCATTATTTGTACTTCCTGCGAATAAAATTATTCGTTACAATCGTTAATCAATCATGCTATTTAATCAATAAATTTTACTCTATTTTATTGCTTAATTAATCCATTCCGATACAAAAAAAAAGAAAAAAAAAAGAAAAAGAAAAAGAAAAAAAAAAAGAAAAAGAAAAAGAAAAAAAAGAAGAAAAAAAAGGAAAAACATCTCTTAGATATCGCTGAAAGAATGATTAAATTTTATGACAATTTAATGCTTTGTTTTATTCGATAGATATGTTAAGTTATTTTTTTTTAAAACTACTTTAAATTGTACGTACGACTTGTACGAATGTGTCCAAAGTAATGGACTCCATATTCGCACAAAATCATCCTCCTTACCTTTTTTGCGATTAGTCGATGTGTTAGTTGACCGCGATGTGTTATTGATGCTGGACAAAAGAGCCGACGCAGCCTCAGCCAGACACGCCGACAGCTCATCCTGACTCTTGGGTGGTGTTTTGGCTTCGTTCAGCGACGTATCCGACGATGCTTTAATTTTTGGCACTTTCTTATTTTTTTGAACTGCCTTGGCGATCACCGCTGGCGGTGTCGTTACGAGTGCAACGACGTTCGACCTTGTCGTCACCTTTTTAACTGGCTCTTTCTTCACTGCAGGCTTTTCTATTACCTCCTTTCCAAAAACAAATACAAATCATTTCAAGAAATTCAAGAATGCTTTATTGATTATTCTTTTATTATTGTTGACTCAATAGTGATTTTACGAGACAAAACAAAACAGACCCGTATGACTTGGAAGATATGATATTTTTGATTGTAAACTACGCTTGTAATCGTTTCGTACACTCCCTCGTGATTGACAATAAGAAAATACGATTATGGCAACGGTGACCAATAGGATAACAAATCCCAATGTCGCATGCTTTAATCTTAATTTATTAGCCGGAGAAAAATCATTAGCTTAAAACCGGTGTTTACTTTTTTTTTAGTCTTCTTCGCGTCCAGTTTGTCATTCAGTTCTTGCGGAGTTTTCCTCTTCGTCTTAATTTGGATTTCTGCTTCTTCCGTCTTTGCCTGCTCCGACGGCAAATCTATACTAACTCTAGGACTCGCCGAGGCACTCGAGAACGAGCTCGAGGAGTGTCGGCGAATTATTCGCGATGCGTCCGCCGCATTTCGTATCTTTGCGGGGATTATGAAATCTGCATTCACAGCCGGTGTCGCCGACGATTTTTGCAACCTGATTGGTTCGCTCGATTTCTTTTCGGCAGCTGGTGGCGGAGGATCGGTGGGCGACGGTGCCTGCGAAACGATACATTTCTCATTTAACATACTTTAAAAATAATCACGGTATTCGAGGATTGCATTACCGTCTAAATGGAAATTTTAATTCAGGCAAACGGCTATTGCTATTTGCTATCAAACACGATGCAACGAGATAAAAATGAAAAGCTAATCATTTTCACGGCAATATTAAGAAAAGAAAATATTTACAATTATTAATGAAAGGAATTTTACAGGTCATTCATGTATAATTGCCATCCAAAAAACATAATAGCAAATAAGCGCACGTGGTTGAAAAATAAAATTCATAAATAATAGTGAAGGAAAGGATAAATCCATGTGTATAAAAATAATTATCCACAATAGTGCTTTGAAATTGTTTTCCGTAGTAAAGGAAAGACTAAAAGGCTCTTTTTAATTTCTAATAAGTGCTCGATAAAACTCATTTTTATGGAATTCTGTGATAGTTTCGTCGAGAGAAGCAGCAACCAGAAAAATGTCAATTGTAATATAATTAACGAAGGATCATTTTACGTTAAGCGTTTCAGAGCCGTTAAATTAAATTGTCCGATATTAGTGATTTGCTTTGTCGGCCAATCCGTTGAAATAATTCTTTAATATTTTAACGTTTTCGCATACTCACAGCGGCAACATTTCTTCTCGATCGAGGCGAGATCTTTAGATTTGTCGCGCTGGAATTCCTCAGCCTCAGAACCGCATTCCTCACCAATTTCGTTCTGAGCATCAATTCCCTCTCAGCCTTTTCCACGTCCATCACCTTCTTTTGTGATTTTGTAATTGGTATCAGCCTCTTCCTTGAATCCGGCTGCTCTACGTCGTATAGCAAATTAACGACACCTTCGTCCTGCAGCAACCTATCGATCTCGGTCACTATCTTCTTCGTTTTGGTTACCGGCGCTGCAGTAACTAATTTTTCCACCACAGTTTTATTCTGCGATGCACTTTTCGTTGCCGCTGCCAGCTTAATGAAGAGAATAAAAAAAATTGATAATGCTAGAATTATTTATAACCACGACATTATTGATGGAAGCGATTTTGAAAATTCAAACCTTATCAAATACTTATGAGAATGTTGCAATTAGAGGTAAAAAATAAATTTTTTTACGTCCGACTTTTATTTTATTGAAACTATTGAAATAAGATACACAGACGCGCGCGCGCACACACACACACGCACGCACGCACGCACATATATATATATATATATATATATTATAGAGGAGAGGAGGAGAGGAGACGTCGATCGCACCTGTAGCTTCGTTTTTGCAGCAGCTAGTGGCTTCTTGCCGCTCGACTTCTGTCTAAGGAAATTCTTGACGGCGAGCTTCCTCTTGGATATGGGCGTGTCCTTCTTGAGAAGGCCAATTTTTGATCGCTTAACGTGGGCCATCTTGCTCTTGACGACGGCCGCCCTCGCGGCTGCTGACTGCTGTCTCGACTCGAACCTCCCTTGCTTCGTCTCCGAGCCAAGCCTCGTCCTGGCCTCGGGCTTGCTTTGGCCGGGTTTCGGTACTTCGGGCACACTCGACTCGACCTCGGTCCTCGGCACGGGGCTGTTGCTACCACTGCTGCTGGTATTGCCGCTCTCGGTCTTCGACTTACCGCTGTCCTCCGACTCCTGGGAGGACCTTTTGCCGTCCGGCACGAGTTTGCCCTTGTAAACCTGCGTCAAAAATGCGCGATGAGCCTGGACTTTGGATTTTGAGCTTTTATCTTAGCTCGATATTTACGCTACGCGAAAGGTTTGCCGTGGTATCGCGAAGTCGCGCACAGTTATTGTTATTTTTGAAAGGAGAGGCCGGCTTGTTACGCCGCATTTAAGCCACTTTCAACGTAAACAGGAGCTCACATTGAGAAGTTCGTCGCGATGGATTGCGAGATTAGCAATTTACAGGGCTGCCGCATCTTGACAAAAACTATTCTTCGGATTCTTTGAATTTTTTTTTTTTTATTTTTCACGCATCAACTTCTGTTTTCGTTCTTTCAAGCATAGCGTTTTCAAAAGTACATATAAAACACACTGTATGTAAGTATTTATAAAAAATATATAAATTAAGCAGGCTGTTGTCAATCATTAATCTAAAGAACTAGTGAAGAGACAAAAACATTCGACAATCGGTCTAATAATAAAGTAATCTTATTAATTTTTAATTTGTAGATTTTAAGGTGAGTTGTAAATTGTAATTTTTCTACCTCAAAGAGTTCTCAATCGTTCCTTCAATATGCGAATAATTTATAAAATTGGGAAAATACTTTTTATGCATTGGATTACATCTCTGATATGGTGCAGTTTACTTTCCAACTATTATCTACAGCAACAACATTTACCTTAATTAGCCACATTCAAATGAATTTATGTTAATTCGAGTTTTAGCCTTCGATTATATATACATAACACTTTGACGCGTTGAATAACTCAGTATCGTTTTGTCGGGTATTTCTTATAAATACCGTTTACAAGGAGAAATTCGTATTATGTCGAGACGGTCTAATATCGATATTGCGCAATAATTCTTTGATAAACATATCCGGCAGGACGAAGAAGAATTTCAGCTTAACAAACTAATTTTAAAGATTTTCTAATTTTCATAAATAAAACTAAGCCCTCCTCGTTATTCCCATTAATTCTCGTATTTTTAACCCACCTTTTGTCGCTTAACGTTGAGTTCATGTTCCCGCGCCTTCTCCGTAAGCTTTCGCTTCCTGCCGGACCTAGACTCCTCCACGCTCAACTCGATAACAGATGCGGCACTACTTCGTGTATTTTGATTGTTGTTCTCCTTTAACGCTTTCGTCGCTTTATTATCCTTCTTGGGTGAGTCTTCTTCCGTCGAGTCTAGATTTATTATTTCCGTTTTCGAGTTGTTGGCAAGTCTTAACTCCAGCTGATTGCTCGAGTCTCTATTCGATGAAGATTTCGTCGCTTTCTTAGTCTTCTTCGGCATGCCCGAATTATTTTTCTTCGGAGATATGTTCGGCAATTCGAGTAATTGTTTTAAAGCCAATTCACGCTCTACGATAGGGTCTAGCTTTGAACCTTAAACAATATAAATTACGACAAAATTATAAGCAATTGATAAGAAGGCAAAAGCTTATTTTCAAGAGGAGTGAAAAAGTGCCTCGAGTTATATTTATCAGCGATGTAAATGTGATTATTTAAGATCGCATCAAATTATCTTTGAAAAATTGAATCGTAATCTTTCTTATATAATAATTGCTTTATATAACCATTATATTTAAGAAAAGGACTATATATATATATATATATATATATTATTTCAAGTACTCGTTAGCGCACAGAATATCAAAATCAAATCCGAGAATTTATTAATGTTATAATATTACGTCGATTGCAATGATCATAAACGATGAGTATATTAAATATTATATTTTCAAGCTGTTGTTATTTAAAAGCATTCGATATCTTTAGGTATTTATGAATTGTATTCACTATTCTTGTCGCTATCTACCCGTATTATCCCGTAGTATAATACCCGTATTATGAAAATCTCCGGAACTCGTCACTCTATTGCTTCCGTCTTCCGTCATCGTTTGTGGCTTCAAGTTCGACCAGTCGGGATCGACGTCGCCCTCGAGGATGGCTAGTAACTCCTTGTTATCTGTTGATGCCATCGCCACCACAGGTACTGTTTTACTTGATTCTGTCAACGCTTCCTCGATACTCTTATCCTTGTCGTTCTCGTTGTCCCCCAGTACGGATTGCAAAGGTATAAGCGGTGGAACGTTGCACCCCGAAGCCGCCGATAATTGACTGGAGAGTCGCTGGGTGATTTTCTTCACGAATACAATATCCGCTGTTTTTGGTACCACGAGGTCCTTCTGCTTTTCGCGCAATCGCTCCTTCAGGACCTCATTCACTTCAGCCGTCGATGCAATTTGACTGGTCAAATGAAGACCTGGGACCTTTACACCAGGTCTGGGAGACTGAACTTTCTGCTTCAAATCCGACTGATCCTGATTTGAGTTCTTGGGTGATCGACCTAGAAAGTGGTCTGAAATCATAAATATTTACTTACGTCAAACACTACATTAATAAATATAAAATTTACAATTTTCATAAATATTTGATCTTTCTAGAATATCTAAAATAATCATTTTGCAAGCTTCTTACGTTTCTTAATAATTATTACTACATAATTGTTAAATTTGTTTTTCACTTCATAATTACCTATATTTTAAATAACGTTGAAATAATAAATTATTATTTGAAAAAATTCCACTGTATTTATTTTAATAAAAAAGAAATATTTGTTGTTAATATAAGTATAAATTATTACAAAATTTGATATGAATTCTCAATAAACATTTTATCAGTCATTATTTCAAATTATACTTAAAAACAATAATAATAATAATGCACAAAAAGAAATGTTATTCTTATCAATTTACTATAAAATTCTTTAATTAAATCAATTTAATTCTCATATTATTCGTAAGCTTTAAGAATATTATGGTATCTTTTAGAAGTTGAATCGATAACTTTTAGCCGAATTTAAACAATCAAGTTCTTATATATTGTCTTCATTATTATAATAATTTAGTGAAGGAATTATTTTCGCTACATTTATTTTGTCGCTATTCTGATATTATTTATTTATGAATTAAAAATAATATTATTAAATTTGAATTAAATTTGAAAAAAATTTTAAATTACAAGCTTAGAAAATCTTTTTGCTTAACCGATAATATCAAAGTAATTAAATTATATACATTAAGATGAATTTTCGATACATGTATAGTAGATAAGTAATGCAGGCATAATTTTGAAAATCGTACAATGAATAATGTAAAGACGATTAAATATTCATAAATCAAGATGATTACAGAAATTAGATTATAATTTGTCTACATTGATCTGAATTTGAAAATACGATAATAAGATTCATGAAAATATTTTGAAAAGATTATAAAAAATTAGAGAGGATAGTTTCCTTAATTTAATAAACTAATAATCTCATTCAAGTTTTTAATTCATATAACAATAATAGAGAGATAAAGACGATTGATGCAACGATGACAACAACAAGAATGACGATGATAATGACGACAACGAGGACGAGGATAAGGACGAGAATGAAGAGGAGGCGGAGGAGGAGGAGGAGGAGGAGGAGGAGGAGGAGGAGGAGGAGGACGACGACGACGACGACGACGACGAGGACAACGAAGACGACAACGACGGCAACAATGACAACGACGATAACGATGATAACGATGATAACGATGACGGCGATGACCACAACTACCATAATAACATTAATAATAAATAAAATATTTACTAGCTTAAATAATGCATATTAAATAATACAAATTGAATGTTGTTGTACTTAATATTATTATACGTAATATTACTATGAAATTAATTGTACATAAATCTACAAATAAATACCGATTTTTAATATTCCTTAAATAAAAATAATTAAAACATACGATCGTGAATTAAGATTGAATAGGCATTTAAAATTATAATGTTCTCAATAAATCAAATAAATCATTAATTTAAAATATTTTCTATGCCATTAAAAACATAAAAATAATTTACATTTCTAAAAGTTTTTAAAAGCATAAGCGTTTACTTCTAAATTATAATTATAAAATGTATCAACATCCCGCTTACGAAAATCAATCATCAACAAATCATATATAGAATCATAAAAAGATAAAATATTTATTTTCAAATTACGTCGTACTGTAACGCGAATTATCCAGTATTAATAAAATATTCTATAACTCTATTTACGAAATCATGTATATAATGTATAATTTTTCTAACAAAAATTGTTTTCATGTTTTTAATCGTTTAGAAATTCTTAATGAACTAAATCAATGAGAAATATTAAGTTTTACTAATGCTTGAGAAAGCAATTAATTAAAATAATAATAATACTTAAAAGTGCTCCATTACTAATGTATGCATTATTACAACTCACCCTTGAGTGGAATGTAATTTGTTACTGATTTTTGTGACTTATTGCTCAGTGCTTTCGAGTCCGAGTTTTTACTAAGCGGCGATGCCTTCTCAGATCTTAAAGCTTTCGCTTTACCAACTACAGCGTCACTACTCTGCTCTGCATTCTTACAATTCTCGTTACTATTGATCGAATGCTCTGTGGAATTACTGCTGCAGATGGTCTGTTCCTGTTGCGCTCCATCATCCAACAGACTTTGCAGCTCCATCTCCACGGAATCGTGGTTGTCTTTGAATATAGTGGATGATTGGTTATTATCATCTTCGCCATTCTCATCTTGCCAATCATCAAAGATATCTTGTATAACCTTACTGTGATTTTCCGTTGACTGTGTCGATAGGTGCAAGTCCAGCTCCTCTTCGTCCTCTTCCTCCTCTTCTACATTCTCATTTACAAGCTGACACTCCGATGCTTCGCTACACTTGACTTCTTTGACTTGTTCGTTAACTTTCAATTCCATGCCGGTTTCATCTCCCTTTCCTTTGGTCAATTGGTTTTCTTCTTTCGTCTCGACTTTGACTTCTTCTTTAGCTTCGCATTTATCGTCAATTGCAATGGATTTCGTGCAATTTTGCCGTTCTTCCTCATCTGGAATTTCTATCGGTGCATTATGTTCGACAGAATTAAATTCTGTTAGAATTGCGACATCGTCCGAATTTGCAACGATTTTGGTATCGTTTATGGTTTCGGTTACCACTTCTGAATCCTTAACTTTTTCCAGTGATACATGTAAAATTTCAGAATCTCTTTCTTCGTTTGGTAAATTAATATTTATATTACTGATACATGCACTACTACCTTCTTTCTCTTCTTCCTTTTGACAATGATTTGCTAGCTCAGTTTCAAGATCTTCCTTAGTAGGGATAACTGCATTATCATTGGTGACTTCATTAACAACGGAAGTAGATTCTACATCGGTAGATTCAATCTTTTCTGACTCAATAGTACTAACAAAGGATTCTGCTCCCGTATCATTAGTAGAGACATTTTGTAATTCTTGGTCAGATTCTTGTACATTCTTATCTATAATTTCATTTGCGCTTTCTGCCTTTTCGCTATTAGCTAGAGAATCATCGTGATTATTGATGGATTCATGATGAATTGAAGCAGGAACAGGATCATTCTCAATCATAACAGGAACTGATTCACTTATGTTTGTAATTATTTCGGAAATATTTTCTTTATTTGTCACCAAATCAACTGAATTGTTTGCTTCAAAGTTTTCTTGATATGGCGTTTGATCATGTACAATAAATTCTATTTTATCCTAAAATTACAAAATATGTATTTAAAATAATATCTTTAAACGCTTAAATTAATACTTTATTAAATAAATAAATTTGTGTAATAATTGAATTAAATAAATTAATAAAAACCTCTTTATGACTATCGTTGTAACTAGAAACGTCTTCTACATTATTAATTTGTGAAATACTTTCATCTTTATTAGATTCTTCCTTAAATATTACATTTTCTGTTTGTTTTTCATTTCCAATTCCATCTTCATTACATGATATCACAACATTGCTATTACATTGATCTTGTACATTAATGCAATCATTTGGTAACATTATTTCTAAGCCAGGCGTTTCACAATTGACATTAGACTGTTGGTTGTTATCATTTTGGACAACAATATCTTGAACCAAATTCTGAGATATAAATTTACTTCCTTCATTTGTATTATTGACCTCAATGACTTGTTCATAAACCTCTTCATGCTGTTCCATGATTACAGTTTATCCGACTGACAAATAATTTTTATATAAAATATAAAATTGTAATAAAATTGCAATAAAAGTGTAATAAAATTATGTTTATTACAGATTAAATATTTGTCAAAGCTTTGATGGTATTTAATTATGAATTTTTACGACACCTTAAATTATAATTTCAAATTTATTATAAAAACAAAATTTATTTCCTTTTTACAGATATAAGTTGGCAAATTCAAAGTTAATGTCATAAGTGGAGAGAAACTAGCCTTCAACATTTATAAAAACATACATAAGATAAAGCATCGTATCATAAGTCTTGATCGCTAATCTGTTTCAATATTTAAAAAATAAAAAAAAAAAAAAAAATAAAAGTAAAAAAAAAATACTAGATACTGAGTAAAATTAGTTTTAAACTATAAAAGATTTTTTTTTAAACGATTTATAATGAGTAAAAAAATACGCTTACTGCCAGATCTAAAAGTTCCGAGGCACAAAATTTATTATTTTTTAGGAATGATAAATAAATATTTACACGTTTGTGAGATAATCAACAATTACAAAACCTTGAATGTCGACATGAGGCTACGCACAAATCGTAAGGAAATCCATGTATGCTTAATGCAGTGAAAACAAGAATTTCCACGCGTACACCAGGAGAGAAAAACTTTTCATAATTGCTTCTCCCTGCCTCCCTACCACCCTCGCTTATTCTCTCATTCTCTCATTCTCTCATTCTTTCATTCTTTCATTCTCTCTCAGTCTCTCACAAGCTCTCTCTCAGTCTCTCTCTCTCAGTCTCTCTCACTCTGTCTCTGTCCTTTCCGCTCACGGTCTTTTTCTCTCTCACATGCTTACCGAGTCTCGCGTTGCTTTTCTCCTATCCTCGATGACGACTTTCCGAAAAGGCGCACAAGCACAGCTTCCTTCGAATAGATCACATCTTTCGATGCACAACTTCGCCACTGAAAACGCGTCCTTACCCCGCGGATAAATCGGCAAACTATAAAAGTCGATGAATACGAAGGATAACCTTCGCGAGGTGACAAATCGAGAGCACAACGCGGCGTTACAAAAAAGACGACAGAATAGGCCGCGCCGTTGTGCCCCGTACGCACTGCTGCGACATGAAGCGATCAGCGACGCCGAGAGAATTTTAAGTGCAGATGATAATGATGAGCGGCGACACTTAACTGGTCACGGCGAGCGCTGATCAATCGGTACTACGACGGTGTACATGCATTTTGTTTATCCGGAATGTGAAAAATTGTGCCGAGCGCGAAGACGATCCTTCGCCTTGCTGTGGGCAGCCGAAGCCGCGCGAACGCCGAGCACTCGGGAGGCGTTTTAATCACGCGGTAATCGAGCGCCTAGAATGTCGCGCCGCTGATCCGAAACTTAACCTGGAAAATCCCCGATTATCCGACACATCCGCAGGGCTAAGTAGTATCGCTCTTGGCGGCGCGGGGAGAAAACGCCGCGTGTTAACACGTCTCTCCCTTTTCCCGTGTGTGTGCGTATTGCATGTGTGTCGCTACGCGCTCACACATATTAATTATTAATGCACGTAGAGGCGCACCAATACACGCGCGCTCCCCCAGTAGACACATATATAATATTTATGCGCGTCAAGGAGTTATGTTTCGTTTAACTAAAGCGCTGCTTCATTCTTCCTCTTTATTCGCGCGGTCGCTCATCCAGGAGATCAACCAAGAACCCGCGCTCCTCGATATTTATTTACTCCGTTTCTTCCTCGTTTCGGGGATCTCGCGAATCAAGCGGACGAGGAAGAGGGAAAAAAACTTGCACGGTAGTGCACTTGGCTAATGCACGGACACGCATACTAATGCACGGGGTCTCTCGCGAGCCTACGAATGCCGGATTTTCATGGTAGCGAAAGCTAACCGAAGCGCCCCATTGGTCGGGTGTGCAGAAGATACACACGTGACAGAAGTACTAACCTTAACTGCCGATTTGCAAAGCCGACGAGAGCAAGTGACTAGTGGTGGGCATGTAGCGAGAATTTTTATGCCCTTTATATTTTTCTTATTCGCACGAGCGAAGAGTGAGAAATGACATATTCTTCGGTTTACAAGACGTACGACATAGTTGATGGGGAGAAAATTTTTTTCTTCCTCCTTTTTTTTTTCTTCTTTTATTAACATCGTGCTTGCTTAATGCTAATCTCGAAATTGCTCATTAAAGCTTCGAGCAATCTCGGCTTAAATGTCCACTAATTACATGAAATAGCAGCAAATTTATCTTTGTGTTATTAAATATTTAATAAGGTATTTTTCATACTTGCTGTTTATTTACATTGCTTTCGTTTGTTCAAATTTTTAATGCCATCCTGTCGACGATTAAGGACACGATTGACTTTGTTGCCATTATCAAGATCGGACTTATTCATTTAATTGCAAATTATAGTAATAGAGAATTCAAGTTGATTGTTTGGGTATGTAATAATTCGTTTAAACATTATGTCCAAGTTTTGCATATCGATTAAATGTTAATGGATAATGAAAATATATTATTTAATGTAAGGTAGATAGAGTAATATTTTTACTGTCAATTGTCCTTAATGTTTGATAGTTTTATAAAATACAATGGAAAAATTATTATTGATGGTATAATTTTAAAGATATGGCCCTATTCTGATATAGTTGCCTACCACCTAAGTTTAATTATCATTTAATTATTATTTATTCAAACGATCATTTTTAGTCGTGTTAAAACTTAATTTTTCTATAAAACACACATTTCTTCACATTTATTTCTCAATCAAAATTTTATAATACAATACAAACCTTACCATTTCACATATCAGGCGATACATCATGAGTATTTTGTTCGATTCTGACGATGGATGGATAATTTCTCATCTCGATTACTTGAATAAAATCTATGAAATAGTGGAAGACGAACAGCAAAATAAAGTATTAAATTTCAACGAAAGTCTTTTTAAAATAAACACACAATATTTACGCCAAAATCAAATAGATAGTTTTAAGAAAAAAGATGCCAATGTTAATTCTTTAAAAAAAAGAAGGAAAAAAAAATCACAAATACTTCCAGAAGATATTTTAAAAGAGGTTTTTAATTTATAATACTTCATTGACAGATACCATTTTCATTTTCTTATTAAACTTTATGTATTATAGAATAATGTTGTGAGAGAAATTGGTTTAAAGCTTCTAGATAAGGCAAAGAATCTAAAAATATTTACAAATACAATTTTAGATAATAATGAAGAATCAAGATTAGCATCTAAACAATTTTACTTAAGTAAATTACAACTGAATTATAATTTTCATGGAAGTAATCGTAAAGAAATTGCCACTATTGCTAAATTTCAAAATGAAAAATATGTTTTTCCTAAAAATAGTGAATTTTATTGTTATGATATTCGAGAGATAACTAAAAAATTGAATATAAGTAATCGTTTTGATTTAATAATTTTGGATCCACCCTGGTGGAATAAATCGATAAGAAGAAAAAGAATAAAATTTGAAGAAAGCAGGTAATTTTACGTACAATTAATACTTGAAATATTCAATAACATTGTTATAATGTACAGCTACAAAATGATATATAACGAAGAACTTGCCAATATCCCTATTAAAAATCTATTGCATCCTTTTGGAATCGTTGCTGTCTGGTGTACAAATTCTTCTAGTCAGCTAAAATACATTTTAGATGAATTATTTCCATCTTGGAATATAGTATTTAAAGCAAAGTGGTATTGGCTTAAGGTATATATATATATATATATATATATATATATATATATATATATAGATATATAAATATATATAGTTGAAATATTTTCTTTAAAAAGGGAAAGACTGTTGAAGATATTGATATTTAGGTAACCCAAAATGATGAAACAATTTGCAATTTTAACGATTCACATGGAAAACAACCGTACGAACAGCTTGTATTTGGGGTTTGTTCTTCAAACATTAACTGCAGCCTGCCCGATAAGAAAGTTATAGTGAGCGTTCCAAGTGCAGTTCATTCGCACAAGCCACCTCTTACAGGTAAAGGAAAAAGCACTTTTAACAGATAAAAACAATAAATTGATAAATAAATCTTGTTTTATTATTTTGTTTTTTTAGAAATCTTGAAAAATTTCTTAAAAGAAAAGCCCAAATGTATGGAAATATTTGCTAGATATCTATTACCAGATTGGACTAGCTGGGGCTTAGAAGTTTTAAAATTTCAACATTTATCGTTATATTCTATTATAGAAACGAAAAATATTATCGAAAGGTTATAGAAATATTTTTATTTAAAAATAGCAAATTCTGCTTAATATTTTAAACGTACGCCTTATAAATATTCCATATAAGCATTTGATGATTATTGAATGAACTTTTATATATTTAAATATAATTTCATAATGCTTTAAGTATAAAATTCAATTGCTTTTGGTATTGTACTGACACGAGAAAGTTTATTTTTGGACATCATGTTTATTGCTATTAATTAGAATTTCCATTTTTATAAGGTGTTCGATATCCGGTTGGATTCATTGTTTGCCACCTCCAAAAATCACGGCCTATAAACGTCAAACAATATAATATCTTATATATCCATGAATTTCACATAATGAAGGAATTGCGTACACAAATGTACTTACACATTTCTTCGACATTATATTTGGTCTTCCAACCTAATTCCTCCTCTGCTAAGCTTGTATTGGCGAACATTGACACTATATCACCTTCTCTTCTGTCTTTAATAACAAATGGTACGCATGTTCCTGTAACCTTTTCAAAGGTTTTTATCAATTCAAGAACCGAAACGCCAGTTCCAGTTCCAAGATTATATACTTTCAGCCTGTAATGCTGCTTATGTAACGCAGTCAAGGCTGCGACGTGTCCGGATGCCAAATCCATTACATGAATGTAATCTCGAATTCCTTAATGGAAGGTAACATAACAGAATAATTGTATATAAATAATTCATGAATATAATGAATATTTCAAGCATATTAATAAATGTTAAGATCTTTTCAATACCCGTTCCATCTTTTGTTGGATAGTCTCCTCCAAATATTGTTAACTCTGATTTTTGACCAAGAGCTACTTGAGCAATGAACGGCATCAGATTTGTGAATTTCTTTGTTGGATCTTCGCCAATCAAACCACTGGGATGAGCACCAACAGGATTAAAATATCTTAGTACAATAATATTCCAACTCTGTTAAAGGAAAACGACATAAACATATTTTAAAATAATCTACGACAAAATGTAGGTCTTATCAATCATAATTAAATTACCTTTTCGGCTCTCGATATATCTTTAAGCATCTCCTCAATGAAATATTTTGTCCTGCCATAAACATTTGTTATATTACCGGTTATATGATTTTCCGTAATTGGAAGTTTATCTGGTTCTCCATAAACTGTACACGAACTACTGAAAACTAATTGAAAGCATCCAGCAGCCTTCATTACCTAAAGCGATAGATCGTTCACTTGTATTATAACATTATTCGTATATTTTAAAAATATACAATAATTTTTAATAATAACATTGGTATATAATATATATTATGTGTTTGCTGGTAAGTTTTTCACTTATATACAATACAGATGGATAAAACTTTATTATTGTCAACTAATAAAAATATCACCAATTATTATTAAAAAATTTTTTCATTTTAAATATTTTAATGGATATGCTCACCTCTAGTAAATTGATAGCACCGATAACGTTATTTCGATAATAATGTAAAGGAACTTGCATAGATTCGCCAACAGCTTTAATGGCAGCGAAATGAATGACGCAGTCTATTTTATTCTATGAAATAATTGCAAGTATTACACGAAATTCTAGTTAATTAATAACAATTGCAATAGATACAATACATACCTTATTAAAAATTTCCTCAAGTTTGTCTCTATCCAACAAGTCGCAATTATAAAACTTGACCGTTTTGCCTGTTATTTTCTCCACTCGTTTTAATGCCGCCGATTCTCCTTTACCTTGGGTTACGCTATTGGCAAAATTGTCAATAGCCACGACGTTGTAGCCAGACTCCAAAAGTTCAACGATACAGTGACTGCCGATGTAACCAGCACCTCCAGTTACAAATATCGTCCTCCACGTATTTATAGGAGGCATTTCTTTTACAATTTTTCGAAACCTATAACTGTAATGATATTGTTAGGCATTTTAATGATCGATAACTGTTATGTTAATGCATTATGCTTTCCATCTATCTCCATCAATCAAGTTTCCATAAAACATTTTAAGTCCACGAGTTTATTTAGTTTACTTAGTCTCATTGACATAAATGTCATTGATTGAGTCACCATTATCACTTTAACAAATAAAAAAAACATAAAAATATTCTTGCCTTTCAATTTTGATAAGTGCAAGATTGGACAATATAGACGACCATTAATGATGAGTTGAAAAATTATTTTAAATAATTCATTATTAAACGTACATCTTGCCACATTCAAATTTAAAATTGAAGTTTTATCATTATAAGTCGAAATAGTTATATTTTATTCGATATTTTAATTCGTTTTTATAATTTTAATATATCCATATAATAATATCAATCGGATATATATCATCTATACTGGAATAACTATAATAATAACAATTGTTAAATGTTATATCACCAGTAGATTATAAATTTAATGTATGCAATGAAATAATTAATCCAATGACGCTTGAATACTGCAAATTCATTTGACTTTCTTATATGAATTTACTACTATTACTTAATTACTTTACTTACTTAATTAATTACTATTACTATTAATTTACTACTATTTACTTAATTACTATTTTACTTTAAGTTTTACTTAATTAATATTTTCTTATGCTAATCCTGTATTGCATTAAGCGATACTCTAACTTGTATTGTAATTATATTTCATTATATTGTTTGCCATGGGTTTAATGTATTATAAATTAATAATTTCACAGTTTGAAATGTTACATGATGTAAAACATACGTTATTGGGAGCTTGAATATCATTTGGAAGTTAGTTTCAAATTTAGTTAATACCTAATAATAATAATAATGAAGTATAAAGTTAAACAGTATTTGCTATTTTGCCTTAACTTTATTTAATACGAACAATCGATACACCATATAAAATTATATTACCTTTAGTCATTTTTAATAAACTTAATGCTTAAAAAAACACAAATACATTATTTATTTGAATGATGAAAGTTACAACAAAAAAACTATTTTTATAAAATATTGTAAATTCATATTTTAACAGATTTTTTTTATTCGTTTCTATTTTTGAATACTATTATCTACATAAAGGACATGAATGAGTACACCGTTTGATTTCTCTCTCTCTCTCTCTCTCTCTCTCTCTCTCTCTCTGTCTCTATCTCGTTGGACCTTATATTGTATTATACAAAAGAGGAATGTGTAAAATGTCACGTAAAACAACTTTGTAATAACTTATACGTGTCTTCGCATTATAGGTTCAAGAGTACTTAATAATAATTATTTTATAGATTATAAAATTATAAAACAGACTATAGAATGTAATCAAATATAATATTGATTATAAAAGTAATAAAAGTGACTATAAATCTTTACAGCTGAATATATTCCATTTACAATAAATATAATATCTAACGGTCTCATTTTTCTAAAGTGTAACGTCGACTTATAAATACCCAGGCACTAATGTCGACAAAAACTCGAACCGTTAAAGTGTCTTGCTTCCTTCTACCGTACATAATGGCTTTAATAAAACTAAAAATGTTCTCCAATGCGTAATATCTTATAATATCACGTTGTATTTTTAATTGATTATAAGTATTGGAAGAAGGAATATGATTTAAAAAAAAAAAAAACTTAAGTAATAAAACAATTGCACCATTTAGATTGTCGTTGGAAAAACAAATAATGAAAAATACAAAAAAAAAATAGCTTAGAAATATTTGAAATACGAAGAGAATTATAAATTAATGATTAATTAATTTTTATATACTTTTGTTATAAAAGATCAGATATTTGTAATTTACTTGTTTTTCATTCAAATTATTATTTCAAACTAATTATCGTGTAATGGAGAAAAAATATTATTTTTCTAACTTCCTTCGTCCTTTGATTTATATTTTACTCGTAACTTATTCATTGTGCTTTAAAATTACTTATAAAGAAATTAATGTACTCGGTTCATTGGATAATTATTATTTTGTATTTAATATTTACCGATGAAAAATTTTATTATTAATTATAAATCATTGATGGTAACATTAATTTATTAATAAAAAATTTAAATATCTCTTATTAGAATATTTTTAGAAAGTTTACGTGGACATCGCTTATATACGCTTATTAATATTATATTTCGCGTGTATTGTGTGTGTATGGGTCTAAGCAACGAAAAGCATTTATTTCTAATAAATCGTATAACTTTAATTATACAATTTTTTGAAAATTGTGTCACATAATAAGTGGCTATTATGGCACGTAGCAACAAACCGTTGAATAGACAAAATTCATTGTTGAAAAGATCTACGAGTCGATTAGAATTCTCAATTATGAGCATACTTTAAAGATATTGAGATAATAGACTAAGTAGACCTAAAAAATTTTTAAAATATTACTATTTTATTATAATTTATCTAAGTTACTTGGTAATGAGTAAAAGCATTAGTACAAGATAATTAAAATCTAATTGTTTTAATAAGGCAATTATTTGGCAATAACAACAATACGCCGAACCATTGACGAAAATAATGTTATTTGGTAGAAATCGTGCAAGTATTTACTTAATTATTATCGTCGCTCTGATCCCTACCTAAAGGGAAGATACAGCAACGCGCAGGTGAATGGACTAAGGAAAGTGAGTTCAAGGTCGTTTGGTATATATATACAGAATAGTCGCTGGAATTGCATCATAAGGAACTACAATTCGAGGTCAAAATGTTGCGGTGAATCGATCATAAATTTGATTCTTGATCATGATAAATCATTATAATGGAATTACGCGGAAACTTCCTATTGGCGAGTTTAATGAAATTTATGTGCTTAAATGACCGTTACTTTTTTTGATTGAAAAAGCAAAATATTTCTTTCCATAAAAGACCAATTTTTCTTGTTTGCTTCGTCTCCTAGCTTTAATCTAATAAAAAATTAATTGACACGCTAAATTCCAATATATTTATATAGTAGTTGAGAAACTGTAATAAAATTGAAAATTAATTCTTTAGATGAGAAATTCATTTCACAAACAAATTCATAAGTAAATGTTTAAGTATCAGAATGTTTTATAATAATTTATGTATTTTATTAATTTATCTATTAAATTACTTTCAGTAAGTAAACTATAATTAAATAATTTTTCAATATTCATTGCTAGAAAAAAAACAAAAACAAAAAGAGAAAAACAAAAAAAAATAATGAAAAAAAAAAAAAAAAAAAAGAGTTCCGAACACTTACAGTGCTAAAATTATACGCTAAAATAATAAAATTTCATATCCCTAATATATAAATCAAGAGCAGTTTTAACATTATTTGCAATTTGTTTAATTAATTTGACGGGAAAATCGTTTAAAAATGAATTTAATATAAGATTTTCAGTTTCTAGCGTTTTTTCAAAATCTATAAAATATTTTGTAAATATTGAATATTTGATATTAAAACTCGACGATCATCAATTTCTAATATATTTGAATTTAAAATATTTGCATAAATTGTAATTTATTGAAAGTTGATGTAATGAGATACCAACTTGAAATTAGAAAGCTTTTAATTTGACATCATATAGCCTGTATTTGTTCTTAAAAAACTATTACTAATTTACCACGTAAGGTCAATCTTATTTTTCATTATTTCAATATTTGAATTGCCAAGAAATTACAAGCGACAATGCCGAAGTGACGCTATAATAATTTTCTTATTATTTTTAATTATTGAAGAAATAAAAGAATATCATATTTTTCGCATTTACGTTTATATGGGCAAAATATCTATTAAAATACAACTAAAAATAAAACTCATGCTATCTAATCACTTACCTCGTTACAATTTTACTAGGCTAAAATTGACAAAGTTTCAGGCATTTAAAGTCACCTTTTCCTCGGACATACCAAACAAAAAAGTAATCGACAAATGAAAATTTATTTAATAATAGATAGTCGTGGAAAAGAGATTGGACGTATCCAGTCTCTACGAACCATCTTCGGCAAATGACGTTTAAGCGGTGAAAATCCTGCGCTTAAAGGATAATGTAATATTACACGTTCAAGTAGTCGAGTACAGTACTATTAGCATACACATAACAATAAAATACACAAAGATCTCGGCTGAATTTTCACTGCGAAACAAATCTCACGTCACCATTTTACTCGAATCCACTACCCTCTAATTAAACCACCTGTCCGCACTCATTAATAATAATGGCTAATTTTTCATGGGTAATTCGAGAAAACTACGAGAGCTCGCGATACCCGCGATACGTTCCACTTTCCCGCTCAAATATTCTTACCTGCAGCTTCGTACTTACAGGGCCACCCGAGTGAGATTCTCTTTCTGCAAAAGCCTGGTGCTCGGTTGCGCCGCACGTCAAACGCGTACGTGCAAAAAACCGTTTGAGAATAAAGAATACGAATAAGACGAAGAAGAATAGAGACGAAGAATAAAGAATAGAGACGAAGAATAAAGAATAGGGACGAAGAATAAAGAATAAAGACGAAGAAGAATAAAGAAGAAGAACAAGAAGATGAAGAAGAAGATAATGACGATGACGATGAAGTAGCAGGAGGAAAAGGCAAGAGATTTAATCCCTGCGAGTCTGAAGAGAGTAAGCCGCCAACTACTGGAGGAAGCAAAGCATAGAGGTAGAGTGGACGCACTTGAGCAAATCCCCTCTATCCTGTCTAGCTCCCACTCTCCCGTTGTACATCAGCTCACCATCTTTTTTACGGTATTATTTCATCCGTTGACGCGTCGAGCCTTCGACCGATGGTAGTCCAAAAGAAAATCAAAGTCCGCGTCAAATTGCGTTTACGGTCTTTTCTATCCGTCCCGGTCATCTCAGCTACATCCTCTGCCAACATTTTTTTTTTTTGCGCCCACTACACCATACTTATTGCATCCTAATGTTTTGTTTTGTTTTTTTGTTTTGTTTTTTTTTTTTTTTTGGAATTATGAAAGCAAAGTGAAAATTTCCGATTTAGTATGAAATAACGAAAGTGCAAAGTGCCCGATGATAAAGTCTAGCCTTCGATCCTTCATCCCTTTTGTTTTTCCATTTATTTCATTGTCTTGTTTTTTTTTTTTTCTTTTTTTTTTGTTTTAATTACCACTTGAAGACTCTATTCCCGGTCTCTAATAATAGCTTATTAATTTATTACGACAATCGCCGATTCGTATAATAAAGTAATGATCTTGTAAGACATTCCACAGAAATTTTATTGCGAAGGTATTTTAATGCGAATCGCGCTCGATGCCTAAGCAGCATGAGAAGCATTAATATGATATAATTAATTTGTCTTAAATTGCTGAAAAGCAGCAGTATCGTCAAAACAAAAAGCTAAAGATAAAAAATAAATTAGCCGCCGGGCATAAAATTTATTACCATTCGTTTTACACATTTGCAATTCATCCGAGTAATTGTTTGTATGTTTAATTGCAATATGTAGGCATATGCGTGGTTTTGTTCGACGCAATTGTATTTTGATTTTCATTTAATAAATTACATGCTCGCGAAATAAATCAAAACAATCTTTACGATAATCAATACTTTATTCATTGTAAATTCAGTGTACTTTTCATAGATATGCTTCAAAAATGTCAAAAGAATGATTAAGGAAGGTCGTTCATTTAAATAAATATAGTGATAATACGCAATAAAATTCAAGTATATAATAATGTTTTTACAAACTTTATCTTTTTTTATTAAATACGAAAACGGCCATTTGCGTATACAAGTTATAAATAAACATATATATATATATATGTATAAAGCTTGTATAAAGCTTCGGACATACAACATTGTTTGTACTTTCAAAGGGATTAATAGGCATTTTTTATTTGTTAACAATGATCCTTAATGATTAATCAATTATAAATGAAGTAATTGTCGAAAAATTCATTCACGATCTATTCTATGTCGTTTGGTCGAGGGACGGGAAGGAGGAGGTGAAGGGTTTAGCTCTAGCGGTATTTGAATTCATTAATATTCGTTTATTGACTCTTCTTGCTGCTGCTGCTGCTGCTGCTGCTGCTGCTGCTGCTGCTGCTGCTGCTGCATGACGTCATTGTAATGCACGTGACGCTCGGCGAGGTTAAGAATCCGTGTTTCATCTGTTTACATTACAAAAATGTTGTAGGCGCGCGCGAAATTTTAAAGTCACTGACAAATATTGCCCCGACAAAGTAACTTCCAATTGTTCGTGGGCAATGAGGCAATGAAACAAGCTGATCTCGTGCATGCTGTATAGAGCCAACGACGGCCTTTATAATGCGACATCGACATCGTCTCGTAGGCGCACCCGACCTAATCAAACTCCTCCATTAGCTAATAACGGTCGATGAATATTCGATATTTACTTTTTACTAATAATGGCTGCAATGGGAAAATGATCGAGCGCGCATCTCGAATCGTTTGACTTTGAGGCTCTTTTTCTTTTTCTTTTTTTTTTTTTTTTTATACGACATGCGCCATCGCGAGGTCGCAACCACCTAGTCACTGGTTTACCAGAGAGGAACAGAGATGTTAGTGCGAGTTGGCGGGAATTCGGGCCGCTGAGGCCCCTTAATCTCTGGTCGTCCGTCGAGTTTCCCGATTGCTTATCACGGGGAAAAGGTGCTAAACGAACGATTTGAGAAGAAAACAATCATTGGCTGATTAAGGCTTTTTCAATTATATTTGACCTTGACAATAATTCGCCGGGATTTGTTAATATTTTCGTAAGAAGTGATAAACTTTAGAATGGAGCAACTGACGAAAGGTGCCTTGGATGTGAGTCTTATGGTTATGTTGTGAGCCGTTCTTTGTCTCGATCTTTTTAATCATTTCGTCATGTTAATAAGATTGTTATTTAAATTTTCAGAGAATTATGAACGGGGAAGACGTTGACGAACCAATCTTACAGATATTGGTATACCAGCCTAAATCAAATACTAGCTCATTTATTGTTTATGTGTGAAATTTATAATTTTGTTTTTTAACGATATATAGGGTCATAAGAAGCTTTCCAGTTCATCCAGCGGTGATAGGTACCGGCTATTAGTATCCGATGGAGTCATGTCAAATTCCTTTACGATGCTCGCAACTCAATTGAATAATCTTATTACGAATAACATTTTATCGGAACACTCTATAGTTCAAATCAAACGTTATGCCATCAGTATGGTAAATAATGGGGGCACTCAAAGGTAAATAAAGTAAAACAGTTCCGACATGTTTTATCATTAAATTTTTTAATCTATATATTATTATGTGCCATAATTCTCATAAAATTATTAAAATTGTTTGTTCTATGTTTTTATAAAGTAATTGTAAATAGTTAAGAGTTATGAGACGTTTAAGATTCTAGAATTTATATAAAATATTTGAAAATTTTTATTTCATATTGACAATATTTATTATTTTTGTTAGACGAGTAATGGTGATTCTGAATATAGAAGTTTTGGTTCCTGGTCACGAAGTTGGTAAAGTTTTAGGATCGGTCAATACTGATAGTGCGTGCGTGCGTGCGTGCGTGCGTGCGTGCGTGCGTGCGTGCGTGCGTGCGTGCGTGCGTGCGTGCGTGCGTGCGTGCGTGCGTGCGTGCGTGCGTGCGTGCGTGCGTGCGTGCGTGCGTGCGTGTTTACGTGGTGTTCAATGAAACACAAAATGCATAGAACAACATTTAACACATTGATTAAATTTTAGAAAATCCAGGCTTCAATAACCTTAATGATTCCATTTCAAATGGTGGTGGTATAAATACAACTCCTATTATTGCGTTGAGCCCGTACCAAAATAGGTAAGATTTAAAAATATTTGATTAAACAAATAATTGATAAAAATTTAGTTAATAATTATATTTATAATAATATGTATTATTACTAGTATTATTTAGTACAATTTTTGATACTCTTATTTCAGTTCTATGGCACATTCATAAATTATTTATTAATGAAACAAAGATTTTAACTATGTGACAAAATCATTACAGATGGATCATTAAAGCACGTGTAACGAATAAATCAACTATAAGAACATGGTCAAATTCACGGGGAGAAGGAAAGTTATTCAGTTTTGATTTACTCGATGAAAGTGGCGAAATTAGATGCACAGCATTTCGTGATTTATGCGATAAGTTTTATGATAGGATAGAGGTATAACGAATATCTTATAATATGAAATTATTCGAATTACATAATTGTGAGTGACTGATTTAGTAAATAATTATTATAGATTGGACAAGTTTATTATATTTCTCGCTGCCAGTTAAAACCATCAAATAAGCAATTCAATAATTTGAAAAACGATTATGAAATGACATTAACAAATGACTCTGAAATAGCTCCATGTAATGAAGAGAGCGAGGCCATTCCAACCTTACAATTTAATTTTTCTCCAATAAATAGTGTCGAAATAAAATCCAAAGACGATTTAATTGGTAAATATATTTATTATATAAATAATTTAGGATTTAATGCAATTTTATCCATCTTTCGGTTCCGTTCATGTGACATTTTCAAAGCATCGACACGTCTAACGACAGTATGTCATTATTAAAACTTTCTAATGAAATAACACAATTAATTGTAAAATAAAAAAAAAAAATTATAAAGTTTAAAAAAAGGTAAAAGTATAATTAATTTTATCGATAGTATATCATTGGAGCAAGTAATTATATAAATTTTGAATTTAACATTGTTAAAAAATGCTTAAATTGAATTTAAATACTATCGATAATGACATTTTTTCGTTATCAAAAACTTTAAAAAAATTAAATATAAATTAAATTAAATCTTCTTACATAAATAAGCCAAAGTTATTGTCATTAATATGACGTTTATCGTAGAAAATATAATTCAAAAGCAAATATGACGTTATATCATATATTTGCAATTACATTATATACATAATATATGAAAATTAGCATTTACGCATTTACAAGAATAAATATAACAAATTGAATGACAAATATCAATATGCTTTTGATGCAGATGTGTTGGGAATAGTAAAATCTTGTAGCGATGTACAAGTATTAACCGCAAGAACTTCTGGACGAGAACTTAAAAAGAGAGATCTTAACATCGTAGATGAAAATAATGATATGGTGTGTAGACGACATACATTTGAACATAATAACATTAATAGATATTGTTAAATTCGTCGTTTATTTCATTGAAGTTTGCCTTGTAGGTCACTGTGACTTTATGGGGTGCTCAGGCGGTAGATTTCGATGGCTCTACAAATCCTGTTGTGGCTATTAAAGGAGCGCGAATCGGTGAATTCAATGGAGGCAAAAATCTTTCATTAGTGGTCTCATCTATGATGCAGATCGATCCAGATATCCCTCAAGCACATAAGTACGAAAATTTATTAAAATTACATTTATTTAAAATATATGAATATCTAATTGGAAAATGAATAAAATGAACATACTATAATTACTGCTATTTCGCAAGGTTGAGAGGCTGGTTTAAAGCTGTCGGTATGACGCAAGAATCTAGATCTTTATCCAAAAGCATTGGTGGGGGAGGAACAATGAATGGACCGTGGTTAACGTTTAAAGAAGTCGAAAGGGAAAGATTTGGGCATCAAGATAAGCCAAATATTTTCATTGTAAAAGCAACGGTAAATCTTGTTAGAGCTGAAAATGCTCTGTATAAGTCTTGTCCGGCGGAAGGTTGTAAAAAGAAAGTAATCGATCAAAGTAATGGCATGTATAAATGTGAAAAATGTTCAAGAGATTATCCAAATTTTACGTATCGTCTGTTAGTGAGTGTAAGTATAAGTAATTTGAACTAGCGATACTTTAATGAATAAATAACTATATAAATATTGGCGATAAAATACTATTGTTAAAGTATTCCGATATTATAATGCTTTTATAGTCGAATTTGGTGGATTATTCGGGAAATCAGTGGACAACTGCTTTCAACGACGAAGGTGAAGTAATGGTAAATGCTACGGCCCAAGAACTTGGCGAATTGAAAGAAAAAGATAACGATGCTTATTTAGAAAGAATAGGAGCTGCAGCATTCAAATCATATATTTTCAAGTTACGTCTTAGATTAGAAACCTTCAATGTGCGTATTTACATTATCATTAACATTTTATTATTTTATCATTCGACATAATTTTATTTCCTAAATATATGAATGTAAATTTATTTACAGGATGAAAATAGATTAAAATCTACGGTAATTGCAATACAACCAATCAATTACAAAGCTTACACGGAACATTTATTAAATAAAATTAAAGATTTAGCTAATATAAAGAAATAAATTAAGGACAATTTAATTTTTATTACTACTTTTGTATAATTTTACTTATAATATATTCAGTTTCAAGATTTTACTAAAATTATAAAATGTATGTAATTAATTATACACTATTCTATTATATTATGTGTCAGTATTCAATGTTTAATTAATAATAATTTGAATTTATTGAAATAACTCGGCTTCAATGGAGCAAGTTTTAAAATTCAAATTACAATGTCGTTATTTTATAAATTTAGTAAAATTTCGAAATTAAAATAATTAGTAAGTAAATAAAGTTATCGATATCTTTCGTATTCGAATAGCGTATGTAATTATATTTTATACAAATTTTCGAGTAAATCAACTAAAAAAAATGATATATTAATAAGCATGTAATGTAGATTTTTTTATTTTTATGTACTATTAAATTATTGTATATTAAACTACATTTTCAATATTCGTAATTAAAATTCTTATTTTGTCGTGTAAAGGGAACTTAACAATTGATGTATTATGTTGATGTATTCATGCTCCACATATTCATCATTTCTAAGTGATATTGAAACAAGATCATTTTGTCATACTTATTAAAAAACTTCTTGGTGTGATTTATTTTAACAGTATAACAATGATTTATTCTTATATTTTATTAATACCATAATTTGATGTAGCCATTAAGATTTTTTATTTAATATTTTTATTATAGCCAAGAATTGGATTAGATCATTTTCTATATTTATGTTTCAATTTATAATTTACCGATTAATGATAATATTAATGTAATAAATTGTAAAATAAATAATTGTTTAATTGATACTTTAATAAATGCTAGCCATTATGTACTTTTATTACATAATTCGTAAATAATTCACTCGATCAGTAAATTCCTTGCTAGATTCTTTTATCTACATGTAATTCGACAGTCTTAATACATAGAAAAGTTATTAACGATTCTTGTTAATGCATATAGTAATAATGATAATAATAATAAAACGTTTCTATGATATACCGTGTATTATATCGTCGTAATAATTTATAAAAGTAGCCGGTTATTTTTCGATTTCTACTCCGAGTTTTCAATTTGTGATTACCAAAATATTGTATAAGATTGAAAGAAAGAAAAAAATTAATAATGAGAATCGCGATAATTAGTAATAATTAAAAACATTTGCAATCTTTAAAAATATAGGTAAGTTGCAAAAAATATTCTGATTATAATAGTAGACTTTTACTTGTATAGACTTAACGTAGTATTAATTATATAGATTGTAAACCAATAATTTCTCGTTCTCTCGATCATTATTATCAGTGTTATCGATAAAAAAAATTTGAAATTGAAAAGAAAGATAACGAAAGATAGCAAATTAGCGATTACGTGGATTTATTCGAAGGTAAGAATATAATTTTATTTAGAAAATTTTCAATATACTCGATCTATGATATTAAATAAATTATTTTTAAAATGATATTAGAAATTAAAGTTTGGAATATTAATGTTCTCGTGAAATTAATATTTCCACAAGAAAAAATTTCAAGAAAATCATTATTAAAAATTACAGTTCCTTTACTATTAATATAGATAGAAATAAAATTTCGAAAGTATCATACTAATATCTTATTTATTTCTTAACATAAATAATTTAAACTTCTTTCTTTTGCAATTTATTATTTTCACGTACGTAATAAGTTACTATAATATGCAAAATAAAATATATAACTAATTAGTAAAAATTGGAAATTATCTTATAGTTTTGTTTTATTTAATACAAAAATTCAGATATATCTATATATATATATATATTTATTTATTTATTTATTTATGTATTTATAAAATTTCTTAAAAAATAATTACCGGGTTTTTATTTAAACACTAGACAATTAAAAGTATTATAGAAACAAGAACGTGATAATAATATATTTACATCCATGGAATTACTATATTCTTTTAATTTGTTTATTACAAAAAACGTTTGCGAATGTACTTTTATTGCAGCTGCTTAATGTTGGGTCCACTTAATTGTTTTCAAATCGATACCATCCAATACCATTTCCCACAAAGGACTCATTTCTCTCAATCTGTTAACGTGTTTCACTGTATTTATCACTGTGTAATTGATTTCTTCAATTGTTGAAAACCGACCGATTCCAAATCTTATACTGGAGTGTGCCAGGTCCTCGGATGTTCCAATTGCTCTCAAAACGTAACTTGGCTCTAAACTGGCACTCGTACATGCCGAGCCACTGCTTAAAGCGATATCCTTTAAAGCCATAAGTAACGATTCTCCCTCGACATATGCAAAGGATAGATTTACGCAGCCAGGATACCATGATACTGGATCACCATTTCGTATAACATGCGTTAATTGTGACGTTATACCTTCGATAAGAAAATTACTGAGCTTTGTTATGTATTCGTGGTCATAAGCCATTTCGTTGTTTGCTAGTTCACAAGCTGCACCGAGTCCAACGGCTAACGGGGCCGGGACAGTACCACTTTAAAAGAAGATGCGTATTAAAAGGTTTGAAAAAATATGGACACTAAGTCACGCTGCATATATGTCAAATACTAATAAATATTACATAATTTATATTACATACTATTGACATTCATCTATATAATACTTATTAATGTGAATTACTTTGAATTATTATGAATTATAGTAATTATATTAATTTGAATACGATTAATATGTACATAGATATGTAATATTTATTAATTTGTTTATCGTGGAAATATTTTTACCTTCTCATTCCTCTCTCTTGACCGCCGCCACTTTGTATCGCTTCCAGTCGTACTCTTGGTCTTCTTCTGACATACAGAGCTCCTATTCCTTTAGGGCCATAAATTTTGTGCCCGCTAATCGACATAAGATCTATGTTCATTTTGTTAACGTCAATGGGAATTTTACCTAAAGCTTGAGCAGCATCTGTGTGGAAGAAAATTTTGTTTTTCCTACAAATACTGCCAATTTCCTCGATCGGCTGTCTCACCCCAATCTCATTATTCACAGTCATTATCGAAACTAAGGATGTTTCCGGTGTTATGGCAGCCTCTAATTCCTCAAGATTAATAAGACCATTGCTCATAACTGGCAAATATGTTACTTTAAAACCTTCGCCTTGTAAAAATCTGCACGAATCTAAAACACACTTGTGCTCTGTTTGCGTTGTTATGATGTGATTTTTCTTCTCTTTGTAAAACCTTGCCACTCCTTTTATAGCTATATTATTACACTCGGTCGCTCCAGAAGTAAAAATAATTTCTTTCGTATTTGCATTAATCAAATCAGCGATTTGTTGGCGAGCATGATCCACAGCAGCTTCCGACTCCCAGCCATACATATGCGTTCTCGAATGAGGGTTTCCTTGGTAGGACGTTAAATAAGGCATCATTTTATCTAGAACCCGCGGATCCATTGGCGTAGTTGCTTGGGCATCTAAGTATAATGCTCGCCCTAGGGTAGGCGTTGCTTGCAATTTATCTTCGTCCGATTTACTTACCGATATCTCAATTAACTGGGATATTGAAGTATGTAACATTCTACATTTCTTCAACTGCCATTGCTTCAACAAAATTATTCTTAGGGATTGTAACATTTTGACGATAAAAATTAATCTTTAAATACTCAAGAGAGATCGATCCAATAAATTACTAATGAAAAATCTTGGTCTAGTATCTCATATTTACGGTTGCTTCTAAATTATTTACTTAAAACCTGGAATGAAGATAAAAGAAACACTTTAGCTATCATGGGAAAGTAAAGTTAATATAAAATTACTGCCAATTGAATGCGATATCGACATTATATTATTCGAGCTTCGTAAAGCCAGTAACACACTACAGATATCTTTATTACAAATGAATTAAAAATTTTAGTAAATAATCCAAATATAACCTAAATACTTACAAAATTCGCAATGCTTGTACGATTCGTTGGTCGACGAAGTTACGTATTCGTAAGCATTGGTGACTTTACAGTGGCCCGTGGCATCTAACTGCATAAAACTTTTGTGAACATGTGTGTTACTCAATCCACGTGGTCTCGGGTTGCATGGAAGTAAATATGAAAGGAGCTCGAACTGTAGAGATGCGATTAAAGTAGCAATCACCTGATTGTTATTAACGTAGATATCGATCAATGATATAAATTTCAATTAAAAAACACAAAGTCGACCCGATGATTAGCCGTTATTAAAACCATGTACTGTATGCGTGCCAATGTTCAATGACAAACGTCAATAAATCGGAAGTTTTTATTTATAGCAAATAGTTCGTAATGCAATGAGATGACACAATAAATTTAATAAATTTAATGAGAAGTCAAGAAATTTGCGATTGATTAGCAAAGCGTTTCTGTATTATCGCACAATAATGTGCCCAGCGAATCGCGAATATATGCTTGTATTATATGTTTGTAGCTAACACTGGAGCATTGATAAATTATAATTATAATAAATACAATGATAAAGAATTCTGGAAAAAAAAAAAAAAAAATCATTTATCAGATTGAAGATGCGATATTGAACATGATACACTATATTAGTAATTTTTAGAATATTTTAGTTGCCTATGTAAATAGATATTTCGTATAGATAAATGAAAATTATTTCAAGTTTCTTAAAAAATGAAATAAAAATTTCCCATTAAAATAATTAATTTTTATAAGTAGAATTGCCATTGTTCTGAGAATATCAACAGTTCTCGGAGAATTTCATAAAAGTCTAAGTATTTTATAATTTGTAAATTGAAGTATCCGTTACAATCGTCAGATGACCGTAATCGAACACATTTTAAATGCATGCACGAGTAGGGGCTTACAATGTAGGCAACCTTGAAAAACGACATACGCGTTGTTCACGACGACGACAACGACGACGACGACGACGACGACGACGACGACAACAACGACAACAACAACGACAACGACCGCGTTGACGACGTTGACGTTGACGACGACGTTAACGGCAACCAGGACTACAATTGCCGCAAAGTGTCGTACACATTGATTGAAACGTACGTAGGGGGCAGGCACACGCAAGCCAAGTGTCTGTCTGGCTGTGTGTGCGCATGTGTACGTATGCCAACGGACGTAATACTCGTACGTTAAGATAATCAAAAGGTGTCTACTTTAATACTTAATAGCTTTTATGCGAAGGGGACAAAGTGATAATATGGCGCCCAGAAGGCGGTTCGCTTGAGACTCCTGCGCGTGCTCTTCGTGGGAAAGAGAATTACGAAAGATAAGTGGGAAGTCGGGGAGCAGAAAGCCCGAGCGGAAAACATATTCCAAAGAACGACAGAGATCCTGCCCTGCCTCCTCCCGTTGCCATTCTCCCTCGGGACCATCAAATGGACATTTGAGGGATAAAGCGAAGAAGAGTGGAATAGAGCGAAGGAAGGATCGAGCTACGACTTCCCGTACCTATCGTTCGACCAGGCGAGACAATGGCAGATCTCGATACAATAACCATATCAAGCCTAAAGCTGAACAAACAGCAGCTAAGCTTTTTCAAGGACATGTTTAAATACTGCTGCAAGAATGCAGACACCGAAGTCGTGCCTACTGTCAACGTTATCGAACTCCTTAAATCCGCCTGGTGTTTGCCCTTGCACGCTAGACTCAAGGTATGCTCGTTGTTCTTATGCTGTTGACACACAGGTGCATAAGCAATTGCACGTTAATGGTGATGTTGTTGAGCCCTGATGTTTAGTCTTGGGATTAAGTCGAATGAGCTCTGATGTCTTGAGTTGTTTGGGGACGCTTGCAGATTCGCAGGTGTAAATTTCACTGACATCGATGCTTAGTATTCTCTATCTTCATTGTTTTGTACTAGAGCAAGCATGTCGGATGATTAGAAAGTGGTGTATATTATATATAATGGCAATAATTTGCTTGGGATAGTCTTATTTTGTTGGCGACTAAATCTGACAATTTAACTAAATTACCAGACTAAATTTACAATTATCTTAATCTTATAGGTTTTGGTGTAAGTGGAACATCGAAAGGACTTATAATTGTCCTTTCTTCGTTATTTATTCAAGAGCCGCATTATTGACATTCCTTATAACACGCACGGATTAATAGCTGAGCAACAGTTTTATGTTGGGTGATACGACTGTACGTGTGGTTAAAAGATATATCGCACATTTATTTTGTAAAGGATCGTTGAAATTTTTTGTTAAGTTTTATAAGGTTATGGTTACCAAAGTGTCAAATTGTGATAGTTGCAAACATATGTGTAATTAATACATTATTTTATGCGATTATTTTTAAAATGTATAGAATCATATGTTTTCAAAGTTCTTATCTTTTAGCTCCGATTGCATTGTTTACCAAGTTCGTGCACTATTGCAAGTCACGTCGAAAGGCCTTGTTTGAATTAATGCAGGCACCTTCATAAATATGAGTATCCAAGCTTACCAATATAGACCTCTAGAATTTGGCAATGAAAATGTCCATATTGCAAATTCATGATTTCCTCATGATTTACATAATAATGAATAACGAATAATGAATTTTCTCATTAAATGACATCGAATAGCCAACATGTTCAAGATATTAGATACAAACAATTGGCACGACTATCGTTAACTCTTTTTATCCATATTTTCATAATCTTGGTGCGCTTAAATAATTTTAAATACACGATAGTCGGTACCTTGTCAATGCACATAATTAGAGAACTAAAAATAAATAAATTTCACAATAAGTTATTGAAATCGTTATAATTGTGCAATGATTTAAGAAAAGATCCAGTGGATTTTGTAGCTGTTAAAATTAATCATAAGAAGAATTAATCATAATTATATCGAATTATAAAATTGAACATCGATAATTCAATGAAAATTTATATCTTTATGACGAAATGACTAGTGATAATTCTTTTAAATTTATTTGACATCCTCGAGTCAAAATGCAGTTTAAAGGCATTTTATTTAAACCATGATTTTCCTATCTCAATCCCTAATAATGCTATTTTTATTTATAATGCGCCCTATTCATCATGCTCTGCAATTTATAAATAAATTTCATAAACAAATAATGTTTTGTTATTAGATATTGGATATATGTGGCGTCAATAGCAAGACAATGAATAGAAAGCAGTTTTATTCAGTTTTAAAGCTGCTAACCGCACATCAATGTGGCTCAACGCTTCACAAAAATCTACTCGTCGAAGATATTCGCCCATTTATGCCTATTCCAAGATTCGCGTGGGACAAAATTGAGATCGATCCCAATTTAATGGAAAGTGACAGCGAGGAGGAATATCTACGAGGTCTTGAAGACGATAGGACAGACTCGCCTACACCGACGAATAGCGTTACCCAAGAAGGCATCCATAATGGTGAAGTGGAAGGAGAAGTAAATCTAGACTCATTTTCCGGTGAATGGCAAAGTATGCTTATTTCAGAAGAGCAGAGACAATTGTTGGCTACCGAGGAAGAAAGTTCCGAACGTCATAGCAGTGACGATGGTAATTCTATTCAACCGCATCTCATTTAACTCTTGAATTTGATATTTCGCATATTTCGATTATATTAACGTTCCTTAAAAAAAAAAACAAAAACAAAAATTCTAATTGGCTACGAATTATGCTTTACATATCCGCAACAAATACCACATGCGGCATCATTCGATAATTAGCAGTTACATTACGAGATCTGAGCCGTTTAATCAATTGCAATGAAAAAGTACGAGGAAGCGCTCGCATTTAATTATTACGTGAGCGCAGCTCCTCCCCAAGAGCACTAATGACGTTCCCAGAGATCGGAGATCGGAGATCGATTCGCGGTGGTCGATTAAAATGGCCGCGCACTGAGCGAGACTTGACCTGTCCGCAGACTCGACCGACGATGGCGAGAGCTTCCCCCCGGAGCAGGTGTGGGTAATCAGCGACGAGCAGCGCATATACTACACGGCTCAATTTAGACAGTTGCAACCGGATTTGGAGGGCCACCTCGCCGGCTCCCTTGCTCGCAAATTCTTCGAGAAGTCGCGGCTACCGGTCGAGGAGTTGCGCCGCATCTGGCAGCTGTCGGACGTCACCCGCGACAGCGCTCTCAGCCTCCGAGAATTTCACGTGGCAATGCACCTCGCGGTCCTGCGACGCAATAATGTTCCGTTGCCGGAGTTCCTGCCAGCCACCTTGGCGATACTCCTTGCCGAACCCGAGAACCGGATGATCCGGCCACCTCGCCCGTTCTTCCCGCCCAAGCCATTGCCCAGGGCCACATCGATCACGAGGTCCGAGCTCTCATCATTAGTTTGCCACATTTTATTCATCCAATCTGAGCTACGAGTCGCGGATTCGCCACCTTACCTTTGCTCGAATCATCCAATTGGTGCCGACCGAGCGACTAACGCTCGACGAATAACCAAATTTCACAAATTTATCCAAATTCAAGGCTAATCCAAGCCGATTAGAAAGTCGCGCTCGCTAAATTGTAAAATTCATGAAACAACATTATTCGCATAGCACGGTTGCGGGGACGAACTAATTGTCGATTATTTATTGGGCTATTTATAAAGGAAGGGATCAGCAGCAGCAACAGCAACAACAACAGCAGCAGCAGCAGCAGCAGCAGCAGCAGTAGCAACACCAGCAGCAACAGCAACAGCAGTAGCAGGGGCAACGGCAGCAGCAGCAACAACCGGAACCGCAACAGCAGGACCGGGAGCAGGAGCAGCAGCAGCAGCAGCAGCAGTAGCAGCAGCAACATCAGTAGGAGTAGGATCCACAACAGGAGTAGGAGCAACAGCAGCGGCAGCAGCAGCAGCAGCAGCAGCAGCAGCGGCGGCGGCGGCGGCGGCGGCGGCAGGAACGAAGGTAATTGCGTCGACCACGATTAAGCCGAAATCGAGTGAGAAGGACAAGAGCAAGGAATGGACCAAATTCGTGGACTCGCCGACGGGTGCGAGCGGAGCGAGCAGTAGCAACAACAGCAACAACAGCAACAACGGCAACAACGGGGGTTCCCTCGCGAGTCCAGGCCCCAAGCCCGTGAACTTCGATTTCCAAAAGGCGGCGGTGGAACGCGACCCTAAGATCCTGCATCCGGTACCCCTGCGGTTGACGCCCGAAGCGATGATCGTCGCGAGCAACGGCGGCAGTGGCGGCGGTGCTGGCAGTAGCAGCAGCAGCAGCAACGGGGCTGTCCCGATACTCGGTGAACCTGATGCTCCTCTCAGCACCGTCACCACCACCAGCACCGCTACCACCACCACCACTACCACTACCACCACCAGCACCACTGTCGTCCAGAGGCCGCTCTCGAAGAAACCCGTGATGCCGCCCGCGGACGAGGCCATTATAGCCACACCCAAGAAGGAGCCGCCACCTCCACCACCGCCAAGACCCTATAGAACGCATACGAGAAGTTCGAGCCTCGATCTTAATAAATTAGGTTGGTCACACGTTCTTCGCATCTTATTTCCCTTTAGTTCCCAACTAAATAACCTTTCCGTCTCCTTAATCGCAACTAGGTTTATCAATGTAGGCATATTTAGGAAAATTATAAAGGATATATACTATAAAGGAATATTTTCACGAGGCCGCGTCACCCTTGGGCAATTCTAAAAGTAAATTGAAAGATAATTCAAAGAGCAGCGGGCTAACCGTCCCAAGTATGCGCGTCTCCACGTCCAACACGTAATAAAAGGATTCGATTATTATTCGTTATTATTTTATTTGAGTGACTTTTTACCGTGTAGTATGTTCATCACTTGGTCACTCAATGCTCGAATACGGGGATGTAATGAGTAAAAAGACGAGACTGGTTCGATGATTTAAGCTAGCGTAAGAGTTACGTTCAGCGAATCCATCGTAGTGCATTAAAATGAAAAAATAAATAAATAAAGGAATATTGCCCTTCGCTGTACGAATATGCCATACAAAAGGATAATTAACGTGAAATTTCGCGATTTTGAATGACATAAGAAGTGCTTGTACGTGAAATTTTCCCATTCGAATTCGAATTCGAATGCCTTACAGTTGTAAATTTTGCAAATCTTCGATATCGACAACCGACGCACCGTTAAACGTCCGCGAAATCGAACCACATTGTGCACATTATTACGAACAAACGTTGCAATGGTCGCCAATGAGATGAAAATGAAGTATTAATTTATAAGGCCGTGCGTAACAATTGAAATTGTTGTTTATTAATTGAAAATAGATAGGTGGTGCGTTGTTTGAATTAAATTAAAATTCGCAGTTGAGTCGCTGGGTTGGATGAGCCATTTTATGGTTTCTTTTCGCGCAAATAACGAGATAATGTTGCAATGGTCGTATATAAGCTTGATGAGTTCATTTAAAAAGTCCGAGATTTGATTAATGAAATACGAGTTCGACATTTGTCACCGGATGTGAAATATTAGATAAAAATATCTCTCCATTATATACAACAACTCTTCTGAATCCTCGTACTCTTTCTCTCACTCACTCTCTCTCTCTCTCTCATTAATCCTTACTGCTGTGGCGGGGGCGGGGGGGGGGGGGGGGGGG